AAACATGGAAATTCCAAGAGGGAAGCAAAGTCTTCTTTATATAATTAGATTTTAAATATAGAAAGATAAAAATATATATTACTAGGATCGGTCCGCACTTCGCACGGAATTTAATATTTTTTAATTGATTAAGTTGATATTTATTTTTAGTTTTAAGATTTTTGTTATATATTATGTTTTACTTACTCATTATTTCGAAGAAATGTTTGTTTATATAAGATATTAGAAAATTGAGTGCCAAAATCGAACATGTCAGGCCATATTATTTCCCAAACTATTTTTGATTTTTTTTTGTATTGATTGTGCAGCAATTGTTAGTTGTAAGAACTTTGTGAAATTCACTTTTTTCGTCGGTAAGAGTTTGAGAAAACGTGAAAACAATATCGTAAAAATATTTTTCTATTTTTAAAAATTTTCTAATTACTTTTTGAAACTTTTTTATATTTGATTATATATTTTTGCGGTATTATTTTTTGGTGGCTAAATTTTCACCAAACTTGAGTTATATTGTGTATTATAACTAAAATTGTATTGTTTTATTATATCTTGTTATTTTCTTAATTTAATTTTCAAACTTTTATATTTTAAATCTTTTTCTAATTATGTAATAAATTTTTGGTTTTAACTTTTCACTTTATTTCTTAATTTCTCTAATATTTAGTTTGGTGACCAAAAAATGGAATGAAATTCTCTTTAGTTAATTATTTTTAAAAAATAAACTAATAATTACAAAGGATTTATAGGTTACTAAATGCTTTATTATTTGATGTGATCTAAATGGTAAATGATTAAAAAAAGATCATTTCTTAATTTTTAAAACTTGTGATAATGTGCCAAAACCTTGTGTAATGCTTGCAAGATGGAGGGCTAAGAAATGGTAGATTTCCTCTATATAAAAGAAAAAAGAAAAAAAAAAATCACATATCAATTCTTATACATTTCTTTGTAAATGTTATTACCAGTTTTCAATTATTTACTTTCAAAAAATCCTTCCATATTTTGAACGCTAGATTCCTTCTACAACATTACATATACATGCTTACATTAAATGTTTTGCACACCACTAGTTTACCTACGTACCGTACCACATGAGCTTGTTGATCACAAACATAAGCTTCTTCTTTGCCTTATCTTCAGTCACTACAACCGATGTCTGAACCACAACAACCACCAAAGATACGAACATCGCCAAGCTGTTGAATATAAAGCATAGCAAGAAAGGGGCTTGGTTAGCTACCCTAGCTTCTCCTAACACCAATGGTCCTTTTGTTATGTCCTCTTTATATTGTCCAGGTATAGTGAAGATGACTGCAAATGCATCTGTTGCTATTAGGACAGCTACAACTGTTGCTGAGTTTATAGTGTTGTTCAGGCCGTTAATGTGAAGTTTCTTGAGTCTCTTTGCTATCCTCTGAACTTTAGCATCTGTTTGGCGAGACTGTATCTCGTGTCTGATGTCGCTCACCGTTTGCTTAAGCTGTTTAGCTGGGTTCTGGGGCTTCCCAAGATCGTTAGCTGTAGCAGCTTATGCTTTCTTCAAAGCCAACATAAGCTCTGCTTTTCCAATCTTTTCAGCTATATCAAGTGCAGTATCTCCCGCCTTGTTCAGAGCATTGAGGTTAATCCCATCAAACAATACCAAACACCTCACTATCTACAAAGCAAAGACAAAAAAACAATTATTAAGAAGAACTCATGTATATTTGACAAACTCAACGATGATGACGTTACCTTAGTACGACTCTTCTTTATAGCAATATGCAATGGTGTGTTTCCTTTATTATCGTCAAAACTCAAAAATTTAGGATCAGGCCTCACCAGCTCAAGAACAATCACTTCTTGTTTACCTTTGATAGCCATGTGAAGCACTGTTTGTCCCTTTTTATTAGCACCAAACCCAATGCAGTACCAAACTCAATGCTTGCATCGTTACCTATCACTGACTTAACAACTTCAACATGTCCCATCCGAACTGCATAATGAAGAGGGGTTTTACCTTTTTTTAGCTATCTTATCTAAATGAAAATCCGTCTTTAGAAGAAGATTCACAACATCAATGTGTCCGTCCTTGTTTAGCAGCCGTGTGTAATACAGTTGTACACAACAAATCAGTTGTCATGGCCAAGTTTGGAAAGTCTCCAAGAGTTTCTTCAATGTCTCTGCCAAAAACGTAGTGCACATTCAAAACCATTCCTAGCTGCAACCGATGCGGTTTCAAGATTCATATGCTTCAACATCTCTTCAACAACTTATGAATGTCCATTCTCTTCTGCAGTGTAAAGAGGAGTTTCTCCTTCTAGATTCTGCTTTGACAACAACTCTTTCAGCAACTCTTCAGCACCGTTACAACTTTGAATAGACTCCAAAACTCTCCCCAAGTTCCCTGTTCGAGCTGCAATGTGAAGAGAAGTCTCCTCTTTCACCAGGTGACTCATACTTCTTCATCTTCCTCTCACCATTCATGAAACTTAACTTTCTTTTTACACTACACGAAAGCTTTTCTGTTTCTCAACAAACCCACACACGCTTCTCTGCCTCTCCATTGCTCTTCTTTATGTTCCATGTTTCTCAGATTGGAAACTAACTTGCTTATCCAAAACTCTTCCCTTTCTCGCATGATTCTCTGCACCAACGCATCCGAGGCTCTCTTATACCTCCATGGAGTTACCTCCAAAGCTATGTTGTGTAACATGATAAACTGTTATCCTTTTGGTTTAGTTCTTTAATCCTTGGTTTAGCTTTATGTTCTAGTCCTTTGGTTTACTATACACTCTATGTAATCCTTTTCTCATTACAGAGAATTAATCAATCAAAATAATAAACCTAATCTCTCTTAATCCTCTTCTCTCTTACGATCATCATTAAATACCATTATCGAATCTAGTTTCTTCGGAGTGATCCTTCACTCTCTAGGTCTTGATTCACCTTGTCTTCGATCCTTGGTGGATTCTAGATAGGGATTTATCGTTACTTCAGAAATCCTGTCTCATGTTGATCCTCTATTAGAAGAAGTAAAGAATCCATCAGATTTCTCTCGTTATTATAGCTAACGAAGATCTAAAACTAAATAGTAATCTAGGAGAATCACAAAGATCTACCACCATCGCACATAGAGCAGAAACAAACTTCGTTTTTCTATCAAGGAGATTTAGGGTTAGAAGGGGAATCCCATCTACCTGGGCTGAAAACATAGAGAAAATTTGAAACCCAACACACAATAAACAACGAAAGCCCAACAAAAATAAAAATAAATGAAACGCAGTGGTTTGTGCGAATGGGACACATGTCAGCGTGAAAAAGCTTGACTTTCCCAGATGGAATCTGATGTGGCATCAAAAGATTAAACACTACTATATATAATAATAATAAGATTTATTTATTATTTATTTATAAACCTGGAACGACATATATATAGATTATTATTTTCATGTTTGATACTAAATGTATAATTTACCATTTTATGCCATTTAATCAAATAACATGGTAAACATTACTCCTAGATTTTTTATCCGTTGAATCTGAGCATGTCTTTCTTGGTAAAAAAAAACATGTTTTTTTGGCTTATCAAAAATACATATTGTGACAATATACAAAATTAACTACTGTATATTGTGACAAACTAACAATGTATACAAACACAAATCAACTGTATAGTGACAGCTATATTAATGGTTAAATAGCAATGTATTAACAGAAAAAATCAATATACTTCTCACCTTATCATTTCAGTTATTTGGTGTCACACTTTTTGAGATACTGAAATGTTAAAATTATTTTAACTAATTTATTAAAAATATTTTTCGCTCTACACAATTTGAAAAGATGTTCTTGAAAAATATTAACAAAAAACCTTCCAGATCATTCGTGTATCATACAACTCAATTTTGAAACATATATATTCTTTGGTTCATTCCATTTTTATCGATTAATGAGATGGTAAATTTGTTGCCTTATAAACCTCAATAGATGACCATAAAAAAAAACTCAACAAAGAAATATTTTCATTTCTGTACAGTAAAGATAATCTTTTGGATAATAATAATAATATTATATTCCCATTTGAATAATTAAATTGGAACAAGTGTTAGAATAATATCAAAAGCATCATGGTATAGGAAGAATTTATGATAAGATGTAAATCTGAGAGTCATGGGTTTAAAAACTGATAAAAATTAATTTACATTTCATTGACTGTTAGAGGGAGATGTAATAATACTTTATCTTTGATAAAAACTAATTTACTCATTTGCTTGACCAAAGATATAATAGTAATACTTTCTAACAAAAGCTAGTTTATCATTTACTTGACCAGACGAAAATGTGATAATACTTTGTGATAATATTTTAGACATAATAAGAACTAATTTATCATTGCTTGACCGAGGAAGATGTGAAATACCTTAGACCTCATCAAAATATGAGGCTGGATGTCACTACTAATCTCTTTGAGAATTTAGTTATACTTAGATATTTTTACGTTAAACGAAAAACTAAAAAATTACAAGACAAATGTTAATATAATTTTTTTTTTGTAACACTGTTAATATAATTAAGTTTTTCGTGTTTCAAAAAAAAAATTAAGTTGTTCATGATATGTGAACTTCTATTTTTAAAGAAACGTGTATTGTTGTGAATTTCCACTATTGTAATTACCAGTTGTTGTACCCGAAATCATACCCTAAGTAAAAAATATAGACAGTTGTTGTACCCGAACTCTTACCCTAAGTAGAATCAGTCCACATCATATCAGTTAAGCCAAAGTTCAATAAATTAAAACGTTGAATTAATTTAATACTTAGTATATCAGGTTTCTAAAACAAGGAGAAAGTTAGGTTCATATTAATATGAAATATACCATTATCCACTTTAAGCAGCAAAAAAATTCAGCACTCACCACCATAATCATATTATAAATACTACAATTTCATTCTCAACTTCTTATTCGTCTTCCTTCTCTTCAAGTTGTTTTCTTTCACAAATACGATCAAACTTAAATAAACATGTCTGGTTTGTTCATCTTCATAGCTTTGCTTCTCAGTTCTTGTACTGGATTGTCGACAGCAACTGATCAAACGTGTGGTAACGAAGTCGTAAACACAATCCTCGTCGACCAAACCGGTTCAGGAAAATACCGTACGGTTCAAGCTGCCATTGATTCTGTTCCTGAACCGAATTCTCAATGGATCAAAATCATAGTAAAACGAGGTGTCTACGTGTAAGTAAAGACCAAACTCGCTACAGTTTTCGAACGCAGCGTTCTGAACCGCGGTTTTATATCGTTTGATATTGCCTATATTTCCATTTCTTAAATAAAACTTTAATACGTTTTTACGTATAAGCTTGATACGTTTTTACGTATAAGCTTGATACGTTTTTACGTATAAGCTTGATCTTCTTCCCTTAAAACGTTTTATAATCTTGATTAATAGCAAAGTAATTTACGATTTAACATGTTTTGTGATATGATGAACCAGAGAGAAGGTGAAAATACCGTTGATGAAACCGTGCATGATAATAGAAGGAGAGGGACAAGGAGTCACGACAATCACGTACAATGCTCACGAAGCCACTGATAGCAGCTCCACTTTCATCTCCGAACCATCCCATATCGTAGTCCGAAACTTAACAATCATGGTTATGTAGCCTGAATCTAATCTTTTACTATATATATATTTTTTGACGTGACAATATACTAAACATGACGTTAATTTTCATATGTAATATTGGTGGCAGAATAGTTATAATCGTTTGAGTCCTCTAGGTAAACCGAGTTGGAACAAAACGCAAGCCGTAGCGCTTACGGTTTATGGAGATAAATCAGCGTTCTACAACTGCGATTTCTTGGGGTTACAAGACACGTTGTGGGATAATAAAGGCAAACATGTCTTCAAAAACTGTTACATCGAAGGTGCTATTGATTTCATTTTTGGTAGTGGCCAATCTATCTACGAGGTATGCATATATACCCAATCTCTAGAGATCTCTCTCTACAAATATAGTGAGTGTTCCTACAATTGTTACAGCTCGGCCGCATCAACTGCACTTTATCACTATTTACACAAGAAACGTTACATTCACACAAAACACAATTTGAGAAAAATCTTTCATAAAGTAGAAAAAAGGAAAAGCAGCTAGACCTTTAATTTGGTAGTATAATTATCAAATGCTTTCTTTATAGAATGAACTAGTTATAAATGTGTAATGTTTGTACCATTGCCATCGTTTTTAAGTTTAACAGTAAAATTTATTGATAGGACTGTCATATACATGCAACGGCGGGAGTGTTGGCACCAATAGTGCCGTATGGTTACATAACGGCTCAAGCAAGAGATAGTCTTACGGACCCGAGTGCTTTCGTGTTCCTACGTGGACGTGTTACAGGGACGATGAATGTATTCCTTGGACGAGCCTATGGTAATTTCAGCCGAGTCATTTTCTTCCAAACCGATCTCGCTTCTGTTGTAGACCCTAAGGGCTGGAACGCTTGGAACAACGCTGGCCACGAGTAAGCCTACATCTTTACATATATATATATACACTCCATTCATTTTCTTTTAAAAAAACAACCATATTTATAATTTGATTGTGTGTGTTTAGACCGTTCCTCACGTACGAAGAAGTTGAGTGTAAAGGAGCTGGATCGTATTTAGCTGGAAGAGTTCCTTGGATTAACAAACTTGATTCTAGGCACGTTAAGCAACAATTCGCTAACTACTCTTTCATCGACGAAGATGGATGGCTCTCTAATATTCCTCCTTTCTAAACGCTTCTTTTGTTGTTACCAAACTATTTCCTAATCTTGGTGAATATAATACTATTGTGACTTGTGAACAAAAAATAAAATAAAATAAAATAAATGATAATATTGTGACTAATCTTTTATACACCTGTTCTTTCTGTGGACGCCTTACTACCATTTATCTCTAATGGAACATGTTTCTTACTAAAACGTTCTAATCGTTTTGTATCGTTCTTAACTTTATGTATCAGAAGTTTGCGGCCTCTTTAATATTCTGCAGATTGCTGACAAATCCCACTGATGAACAATGATGGCTCTCTCCTACAAACTGATTTGAAGTATTATGTCTTGTTTAGTCAGTTTCACTTTCGGTTTATTTATTTTAAAGCACAAAGAAAATCATGAGTTCTATAATCTCACTGCTAAAGCTAAAATATCTACAGCAAAAAAAAAAAAAATTCAAAAGTAAAGCTATAAATCTAAAACATAAATCATAGAGCAACAAATACAAAGTCACAGTTCCAAGTTCCAACCAATCAAACCCATAAACTTAAACTTCAATTCCAAAAATGATTTGTGTATTATAAAATTTTAGAAAATATATAGATAAATTAGTAAGTAAAATATCAAAAATTGGTTTGGAAGAAAATGGGAGGTTAGCCATATTTGATCTAGCTACGTCTATGGAATTGACCGGTTCTATTCGCGAGGTTGATGAAATTTACTAATGATTGGAACCGGCTAATCCTAAATTAAATATCCTAACCAGAAATCACTGACCGTACTAAACCGAACCACTCAATTTCAATTTGATCTCCCCGGTTTAACTTTTTTTCCTTTTTTTTTCTGCACAAATGGAAAAAACCCTAGCCTTGACTAGACTCCTCAAGATAAACAAAAAACCTTAATGCTCCTCCGTCTCTCGGCTCGCTCTATTCGCCGCTACACAACATCTTCTCTCTTTCTCTCTCCCTCTCCTCAACCGTCTCGCTTCCCCTCCGCTTCGTCGTCGTTTTGCACCTCTCCATCAATGGCGACAGCTAGCCACAAAAAGAACGAGGAGTACCTCTCCGCCGTCATCCCCAAGCGTATCTCCCTCTTCGAGCAGATCCAAGCCATTCAGATCGAGAAGCTCAAGTGTCTCCCACACGATCCAATCAAGTAAAACATCAACGATTCTCGAGACCTTATTTGCTTAAATCGAAAGTGAGATTGATTGTGTTTTTTTCTGTGTTTTAGGGTTACGTTGCCTGATGGGAATGTGAAAGAAGGGAAGAAGTGGGAGACGACTCCAATGGATATCGCTGCTGAGATTTCGAAGGGTTTGGCTAACTCTGCGTTGATTTCAGCGGTTAATGATGAGCTTTGGGATATGAGTAGGCCGTTGGAAGGTGATTGTAAGCTTGAGTTGTTTAAGTTTGATAGTGATAAAGGGAGGGATACTCTTTGGCATTCTAGTGCTCACATTCTTGGTCAGGTAATAAGAGGTTTTTTTAGTTTGGTGTTGTTTGGTGATTGAAAGTTTTGGACTTGGTGAATGATTTTGGTTTACTGTGGGTGTTGGTGTAGGCTATTGAGCAGGAGTATGGGTGTAAGCTTTGCATAGGACCGTGTACAACGAGAGGGGAGGTATGGTTTTGTTGGCTATGAGTAGAACAAGAAAGGAGGAAACTTTAGTTTGGTTCTTGCTTTTTGTAAATGGTGGCTATCATTGATGGATTGTTGCTTTTTGTTGGTTATGGATTGTTTATTGCAGGGTTTCTACTATGATGCATGTTATGATGACTTGACTCTGAATGACACTCACTTTCCTAACATCGAAGCAGGTGCTGTGAAAGCTGCGAAGGTATTGTTTCTTCGTTAGTCTGCTAAGGGTTTTTTTTGTTTGTAAAGACATTGCTTATTTTTGTCAAACCGTTTACGTAAGTATCGAATGAATATCTCACCAAGTTTTTTTTTAATTCACGTTCTCTTCTATTTACATCTCAGGAAGCGCAACCATTTGAAAGGATTGAAGTGACGAAAGATCAGGCAATTGAGATGTTTTCTGATAACAAGTTTAAGGTGTGTTCAAAGCTACATATTATTTATCATTTAATTTGTTATGTTTCTCTAACCCCACATTCATATCCTGTATGTCTTCTCCTCTTTTAATTTGTTTTTGGACTCATACTTTAGCTGTTAATCATCTAGGTTGAAATCATCAAGGATTTACCCGCGGACAAGACCATTACTGTTTATAGATGTGGCCCTCTTGTTGACTTGTGTCGTGGACCGCACATACCAAACACTTCTTTTGTGAAAGCTTTCAAGTGTTTGAGGGTGAGTTACTTCTATATCTCTACTAAGAGTGACGTCTGTGCAGATTCTAGTTTTGTTTCTTGTGTTGATCAATACAGTTTTTTTCAGGCCTCATCAGCTTACTGGAGGGGAAAACAAGACCGTGAGAGTTTGCAGAGAGTTTATGGGATATCTTACCCAGATCAGAAACAGCTGAAGGTACGCTATTTTCTTAAAATATTGTGACTACTGCGTTGAGTTCTCAGAATGCATAATATCGATCGTCTTTGTCTTGGTTGTTGCAGAAATATCTTCAATTTCTAGAAGAAGCCAAAAAGTATGACCACAGGCTATTGGGCCAAAAGCAGGAACTATTCTTTAATCATGCACTCAGGTTTTTTTCAGTGCTACCCAACAGTGTTTTCCTCTTTATGTTTCACTATATTAATATGTATACACACTCATTGTGAGCTTCAGCCCGGGGAGTTGGTTCTTTCTTCCACTCGGTACCCGTGTGTATAACAAGCTGATGGACTTCATCAAGGAGCAATACTGGAAAAGGGGATACACAGAGGTTTTTTCTATGCTCTCATCTCATCTTTGGCATACTTGAAGAGTTAGGATGCTAAACTAACCTTGCACCTGCAGGTCATAACGCCAAATATGTACAACATGAGTCTGTGGGAAACTTCTGGACATGCTGAAAATTACAAGGAGAATATGTTTACTTTTGGCGTAAGAGCCCCCTTAGCTCTGACAATTCAACATGCTTCTCCCTTGAAGCCCATGTTTGGCCTAGGTTATATTCTACACGTGAGTGACTTTTGCCAATGTTCCTTATGCAGATTGAGAACCAGGAGTTTGGGCTCAAACCTATGAACTGCCCTGGTCACTGCTTGATGTTCCAACACAGGGTTCGCTCTTACAGAGGTGCGATTCTGTTCGTATAGTGCGTTTTGATATCATAAAACACAGTGCTAGGAATGATATTAGTAGTAGAAGCAGATCTACAAATCTTACAAAAATAGATAAGAGAAGTTTTCAAGTCTATTATTTGTATATGCTTACATCTTTTACGACTTATATGGTCTGTAGAATTACCTATTAGACTGGCTGACTTTGGAGTGTTACACCGCAATGAGGCAAGTGGAGCCCTTAGTGGATTGACTCGTGTCAGACGGTTCCAGCAGGTATATTTTTTATCCTTGTTTACTTTGGGTTTTTATTATTTTTACATTTGTTTCTTAATACGATAATCTGGAACTTATTTCAGGATGATGCACACATATTCTGTACAGAAGATCAGGTTTGTGATATACTTGTGTCTTTCAATCTTAGAGCTCCTTTTCATCCCATGTTGTTTTGGTTAATGTTATCTGTTTGCAGGTTACGGAAGAAGTGAAAGCTGTGTTGGAGTTCATTGACTATGCATACACAGTCTTTGGCTTTACCTATGAGCTAAAGCTTTCAACGGTACCATATAGGAAGCTTCTTCAAATTTAGTATAATTGTTTGATTTGTTCTTTATTGCGCATTAATTACATGTAATTTTAAAATTTCAGAGGCCAGAAAAGTACCTTGGTAATTTGGAAACATGGGATAAAGCTGAAAATGCTCTCAAAGTAGCCCTAGATGCTTCTGGAAAGACATGGCAGGTATGAACTTACTGATGAATTGATACTCGAGTTTTATTTATTCACTAGTCCGCATTATTCTAAAGTGTGTTGTTTTGGCAGTTGAACGAAGGAGATGGTGCATTTTATGGCCCAAAGATAGACATCACAGTCTCAGATGCACTGAATAGGAAATTCCAGTGTGCTACTTTACAGGTTACTGTCACAAACTCTTTTGCTTTCTTTTTCTTCTCTTACTGTAGTCTGTGCAGGAGTTGATTGTATGTTTCTTGTCGCCTCATGCAGCTTGATTTTCAACTACCTGAGCGCTTCAATCTGGAATACTCAGCTGACGATGAAGCGAAGAGGCCTAGACCTGTGATGATACATAGAGCCGTCTTGGGATCTGTGGAACGCATGTTTGCCATACTGTTGGAGCACTACAAGGGAAAATGGCCCTTCTGGTTAAGTCCTCGACAGGCCATAGTCTGCCCTATCTCGAAGAAGTCTGAGGAATATGCTTTACAGGTTACATTCGTGGCTACTGCATTCCTTAGTGAGCATTCTTGTCGACTTATCTGTATCTTCTAATCTTTGGCTTCTCTCTTGTCTCTCATACATTCAAACAGGTGAAGTCACAAATTCATGATGCCGGATTCTATGTTGATGCCGACATAACTGACAGAAAGATTGATAAGAAGGTAACAGTTGTAACGTTTAGTGTTCCAGTTTTGTGGTTGGCTGGTTTCCTGATATTTTTTTGTCTTGATTGGTGATTGTAGGTGCGAGAAGCTCAGCTAGCGCAGTACAACTACATACTAGTTGTTGGTGAAACTGAAGCTGCTACAGGACAGGTTAGTGATTAGGCTATTCTCTGGGTCTCTGAAGCATATAGCTAATTTTGTTTGTCTGAGCATCTTAAGACCATTTTGTTTTGTAGGTGAGTGTACGGATTAGAGACAGTGCAGCCCACTCGGTGAAGAGCATTGAGGATTTGCTGAAAGAATTCAAGACCAAGACTGCCGACTATCAATGAGACGAGCAAGAATTTCAAGTTTGATTTTGTTCTGATGCATACTGTTTTTTAGTTTTGTTTTGCAAAGATTTAAGTAAGCCGGATTGACGCGTCTT